GTCTGTATATTATCTGCAATTAGTGAAAACGTAAGCCATTTACTTTACAACAAAGGAATACAATCTACTAATACAATACTTCGTTATCCTACTGAAGCATTAATTCAACAAATATCAACAAATCAAATTAATTTTCATTTCATAATGATAATAATTATTATAATTTTACACGTATTGTTTGAAACGTTTGTACCAAAGATTGGGCCTCAGGAACATGGTCAATTATGTTAGAGAGGTATAAAACATAACAAATTTCAATTTATAAAAGACCTGATGCTACAGCCACGGAAAAAACTCATTATTTTAACTAAAAGGGTTTTACTTAAGAAAGGTACAGGGATATTTTGAACCATCTTCGCAAATGGCGGGGCATGCACCTTTTAATATCAAGAAAGATCAAGAAGGTAAAGCGTCAAAACAAATGGTTCTGACTACGTAAGGAGAGGGCTGATTACACGGTGCACGGCCGGGGTGTCATAAATCTTGCTTTTATCGGTCTTTTCGTCTACATGTCGAAAAGACCCCGGCGTTTATTTCAGTAAGAAATTCTATCTGTCGAATGCCACAGGTACATGTGCTGGTAGAACACGGGTAAATATACATTCCACCAAAAAATTAGGAAACATCGTTATTTTGAATTATCATAAAAGACCATGTGAGCTAAGGTAAATATTTTCACTATATTTTCATGATATTCATAATGCACCCACCTTTCGTTACTTTTAATAGACACTGAAGGATTTCCCACTGCATTTCATAGTTTAAAAAAAGATCTCATGTTTCCGAACCTTTTGGTCGAGTGTATAAACCAAGAAAAGGTACTAATACTACTTATTTTAAAGATATTGAACACCCGTGTTTGCTGCCCGATCATGGCTCCGTAACTCGAAAGTATCGCAAATTGCGACCAAGCGCAAGCGTCTCGATTCCATAACTCGGCATATACTCGCCCCATATAGGCCCTAATAGCATACGAAATGGGGCCCAGGACTGAAGGTGTGTTTAGGGTAAATTAGACATCAATTTATGATATTACCTACAAGATTTCGGTTGCAGTTATAAATATGTGTCTATGATTATGCAAAATCACGAGTTACCAACATCATCTTTATTTTAAAAATGAAGCATAATTTTTATATATTTTTAATGCTTTGAGTAGTTTCAGTGTGATTTCAGTAGGTTTAATGAGTTCAAGTATCTACTAAGTTTACACGAGGGTCGCTATGATGCAACATCCTTCACCCATGGAGCATTATTTCATTTCTCTTTCAAAGGCTTCCCCGGCATGCTAGGAATATTTTTAATCCTGACTAAAACATGTAATGTATCTTGGTCATAAATACCTTTAAAATGGTGAATCCATCATGGGACTGCAACTAAATAGTATTTCACACTTCAGAATTCGCACAGTTGCCACGTGATACACGTCCCTGCGAAAGACAAGTGACTACGTCTTTCTCTTTATGTCCTCATGCGCTTGAGCACACTCCTTGCGGCAAACGCGATAACTTGTCCATTTCCCGATCCGCTTGGCGTCACCCTGGCCGGGGGGTGCTGTCGGTCGTCCGTCACGAGGGACAGGTAGCGCTCTTTGGGTCAATACACAAAAGGGGATTCTCTAAATCGTGTCAGTCAGGCACATATTTTGTGTTCTCTTTTAATATGTTAATATATAATTCTGACTTGCCCAATTATGTTTTATTAAATGCTATAGTGCCCACCACTTACAAAAAAGGACATTAATTTAAACGTGATATAAAACGGTTATGTAAATATTACACACACAATCTGTGCGACTGACGTGTTTCAAAGAATCACTCTTTTTATGTACTCGCTCACTTTCGTCCTTCTCATTCATTCCTTTTTGCATAGCGTTGTATCAGTGAGTGGCCGTTATTATGATAATATTGTAGCAAATATTCTTTTTCTCTCATCCACTTGTGAAGCTGCAGCTCGAGATTGTCAATTGGGGTGGAGGTCGGGTTCGCATCCACGGACCCCCCTTCAAATAATCCTGGATCTACCCCTGAGTAGTATGGCACAGCAACTATAAATACTTACAAAACTATGTATTGTTAGTGATTTTCAGATAAATAAATAAGTAAATTAACATGTCGATGACAGAAAACCAGCGTTATACGCGTATACTACGAAATGCGGGCGTTTCCTGTACACCGCCAACCTCAGGCCTACCCAACTACCAGACTCGGTACCTAAGGATCCTGAATTAACCGGTACATCGGACCACGCTACCCGTTTTCAAGGTGTGTGTCAGATTGCATTTCGGAGTATCAGCCAGAACACCGACAGGATGAGCCCTGGCATGCTCGGCTGTCACCTTGATTTGATAGTAAACGATTGTCGTAAAATCGCTATATGATTTTAAAACCGGGTGCATAATTTTGAAAGCCACCTAGATGAACCTTAGACTGCCACATTAATCTAATACAATGCAAAAAAGCCCTATCAAAAGTGGTTAAAACATTCAAACCGAATGTCGTAAAGTCCCCATATATCCCCATAGAGACAATAAAATAGAGTACTCTAAAGTAAGAGTACAGTTTAAGGTCGTTCAGCCGAGCGTGGATGAGCCCGCAGTCGTGCTACAAAATTTGTTCTGGGGTATGATACTCCGAAATGCGATCTGACACACACCTTGAAAACGGGTAGCGTGGTCCGATATACCGGTTAATTCAGGATCCTTAGGTGCCGAGTCTGGTAGTTGGGTAGGCCTGAACCTGCATAAGAAATATACCACGTGAACACCTGGAGATAATTTGTGATTGAAAAATGAAAGGCTCAGCTAATTGCACAGTATATGTAACATTCGTGAAGAATTATGCCATCTCCTCCCTGCAGGCGGATCGCGTGGTAACCTGACGTAACCACTGAAAGTGTAAACCAATGTCAAGAGAATACAAGAAATCAACGCACGATTTAACTTTATTTGGTGACATTGACGATTTAACTTTATTTGGTGACCTTGACGGAAGAATAACTAGTCGTGTATTTCTCAATTTTTTCTTTTCACAAGTGAAGGAGGGCATGTTTACTTATCCTTCATTTTGCTGCAACTTATAGACATATCAAAGTATAATCCTCTTAATAATAATAATAATAATAATAATAATAATAATACCTTTAGTCGTATTTAATCGTTTCTGGCATACTGTTGAACTAGTAGGCTCCTTTGTTTGTCTTCCCGAAGAAGAAAAAAGAGGATATCTCACAGAATTCCGCCTTTGTGCCTGTCTACGTGTCTTCTTGCGTATATTGTGTTCGATTCAAACACGCAACAAACCAGTATTTATTAATAATTTGAAGACACAAATCTGCAAAATGTATACATTTTTGCTTTTTCTAGGTCAAAAGCTTAACATGAAATAGGTAAAATTTTTGCATGCCGGTAATTTAGTATACCGTAGTCGCAGTGATTATTGTAAATACACAACGACAAAATTGCCTCGGTTCGTTTTGTACAATAGCAGACACTGAGGGCAAAGCGGGCAAATTGAGGGCAAATTGCTTGGTTTTTGTCTCGCTTTCATTGCTATATTTTTTCAGAGGTAGTAGAGAACAACCCCAAAGCTAATAAAAGGGGGGGGGGGGTGCGTGTCCCCCACACTCTAGGTCAGCCATACTTCCTCCCCCTTGAGAGCGTTTTAGCACACCCTCCCTGAAAATCATTGAACATCACTAAACGTCGCTCGACAAATGTTGAGTGATGTTCAGTGAAAAGCTGAAAGCGTTTTCACTGGGATTAATCGTATTATTGTCGATTACAAATATCTTGGATCACTGAGCTTTAAACAAATTGGACATTCCCGTTTTTCAGGTTTCATTAAAACCCTATATGGTTCCACATTGATGGGTAAAATGAACATTAGCATCACTGTGAAATCACACGCCCCCCTTACTTTACACAATAAATCAATGACTTCAGTAACTTGCTCAAGATATGCACTGGCTGTACCTTGTGCAGTGCCCAGCAGGCAAATGACATTGATTCTACGTTGATTCAACGTTGATCCACCAAAATTAACGTTGATTCAACGGTGGATCAATGTCATTTGTCTGCTGGGAGTGGCTTTTTAAAAATATTACTGATTAACAAAACTGTGGGTTATTATAGAAGCAATCTTCTTCGAGCACACGTCTCGCTTATACAAGTAGCTGGTGAAGAAGATTACATCGTGGGGAAAACCATAAATGACATCGGTGTATACTTGTCTATTTATCTTACATTAGTTATTTTTCTACCAGCCATTTACCCTCCCATGAGAAAGGCAATGCAGACAAGTCAAATTGTTCAAGGTTTACAAGTATACCTGTAAGAAAAAAATGTTTCATAAAAAATGTTTCATTTTGTAGTGAAAGGAAAACTTAACAACATTAAAATAAATAACATAACGTATCTTTTCTTAAAGTGTTATTTTGCTTATACTTCAAGTGCAACAGGTCAATAACAATGATTTTTCTTTTTTTACTTTTTTAAAACTAATATTTATTAAGTATTAATAAAGTGACAAAACAAAATAATGAATTATTTGGTTATCACAATACCGTGGCTTTTTTTTCAGGTTTACAACACAAACATAAATTTTCTAGTTGCACGATAGGCCTACTCTCTAGTTCATGCATCATTTAATAAATGAACAACTTAGATATCCCACATTATAATTTTCCGAAATCGCTCCCTGCCATACCCTTTCATCTGCCCATTTCCCTCCATCTCTTTCCTACCCCTCTCCTTCCTTTTAATCTCACCAAAATTTTGAATTTTAAAATACGAATCTACAGGGTGACCCGAAAGATGGATCCACTTTTGATAAAGTAGCATTTTCTAGTGAAAGGAAAACTTAACAACATTATAAATGTAAAGGCCAGACAACCTTACACCCCTTTGCTTTATGCACATAGTACAACCCACACCCCCCACAGTCAGTAATAGGCAGTGCCACTGAATGTGAGTAGTTCATTCACACAGCAGATATCACAGAAGTAAGAAGTTAGAAAGATTGAGTGGTATAAAAGAGGACACCAAATTGTAAGTTCAATGTTATGCTCATTGTTTATTCTCATTGTAATACTGCATTGCCACCATTAGGTTAACGTTTATATTTGGAGGTGGTGTATTACATGTGGTTGAAAACTGCAAATGCAAATGCACCAATTTTCCTATTTGTAATGTTTTGTCCTCTTTCCCCTTCCTTTAAATGACAATAAGATTCAAACAAATTTAAATTTCAAACACTACAAATACAAGCATTTACCATTCTGACGCTATGCGCTGCTTTGGCAAAATAAACAAAACTACCAGTAAGAATGAAAGTTTTAAATTGAAATTGATTTAAATTCAATCAAATTCTGGCCCATAATTCAAGGAAATAAAACCTAAAAAAAATTGCCTTTTTAGTGTCATTTTGTGTTAAAGGCTATAGTAACGTGTTTTCTTCGCTACATGTCTAGATTGCTTCGGTTCAGTTCTATGGTCTGGGTGCCACTGCAACGCGTTGCTGGTTTGTGTCCCACCTGTAGCAATGTGCATCGGCACAATCGGGGGCAATTTTTCCCCAAAAAACATGAAGCTAATTTAAAAAAAAAAGAAAATATCAACTCTTTTGCTGTCTGGTTACTTGGATGATGATCAAATGGCATTTTTTCGTCAAGTGTAATGTATATGCAGAGGGCGTTTGTGATGGCGAGAGATATTATAGAAAGTCCGATGTACTTGTTTTTGAAGCATTCCTTAAGATCTGGGGATTTTCTAAACAACGAAGAAAGAAATGAAGCTGGAAATACGAAAAAAAGGTACTCTTATGGGCGGCCAAAAGGGCAAAAATTCATGTCGTCGATGAGACGATCGACGAGAATAGTTGCACGATTGACGAGATTAGTTGGACGATCGACGAGATTAGACGATCGACGAGAATAGTTACACGATCGACGAAAAAGGTGACAGCATTGGTTTTAATACACCGTAGATGAGAAATGTTTGACAATTGAACTGACGAAAGTAGATGTTGAATTTATGACAGGATCGTTTAAACTTGAAACTGAATCGATGGGAAGGCAGCGAATCGACGAAACATAACTGAATCGACGACATGAATTTTTGCCCTTTTGGCCGCCCATATACTCTCTGTTCACAGGAATCGCCTGTAGTCTCTTACAAAATTGTTGAGTCTCTTCTTTAATTTTTTATACCTTACCAGAGATCCTGTGTTGTCATTGGGTAGCGTTAAGGGAGTTGGTGCACTGCCCGGATGAAAATATTATTTTGAGAGAACCAGGAAGGAACAGGCTAGGTATGGGGATTACTGATACTGGAAATTTACTTCCATATTGGTAACATTGAACACTTTGAATGTCGAACCAGTTGTTGAAAGATGCTTTATTCGTGTTTGACCAATTTAGAATTAATTTCGATCAAAATAAGCAATTTTGAGAGTTAGTGCTTTGATATTCAATATAATATTTCTTTTGTATTTTAGTCAGAATGATAAGCTGCTATTGCATTTTAGTTTTCGTGGGTTCGTTTTTTTATATTACGTGATGTTACAAGGAATGAGAAACATACTCAGAGGGCCGATCGAGGTCCACTTAAAATGGTAAACGTGGTGTAATATTTATACTTTTGAACACATAGCTAAATATTATATGCGTTCACATTTTTTAAAGTCCAAATTGAAGTCCTGTCTGCATTATAATTTTACAGTTGTGAATATTCAGCACACACAAACACACATCTGATTTTGCTGTAATTTATGATCGTTTCCATCGCTTGATATGTCAGAACTACTGTACTTGTGGTGATCCCGTATCTCATGTTTTGCATGTACATCAAGTGCTGTGGATTCTACAATTCACAGTATCCGCTTATGATGGTTTTCGTGCTTCACAGAATTCTTATATATACAGCCTTTCGTTTGCTTTGACGGATCTTGTGCTTCACAGAATCTTTATACATGGAAGCTGGCAATTTTGAACAATTTCTTCACAATTCATGATATCAAACTCAAAAACTGTTATAGGGGTCTTGATTTTCTCAACGGTATTGGATAAGATACACATGTACCTTGGTGATATTAAGATAATTGCTCCAGTTTTTAGGAAAATTTATATTGATTTGTTTTTGCTATTTAAAGTGTTAAAGTAAGTTGTTTGTCTTAAATCTCTACTGAACCGCAACTTGTCCACGAATAAAGATTAGTAAAGCAAACTAATTTCCTGTTATTGCATAGTATTAAACATACAGTGCATTAATAAATATGCAGCAAATCTACGCTTATATAAATCTGAGGAACAAAAGTACAGTAATATCGGTATCTCAATGCTCTATTATTCTTATTTTTCACCGTAGTGAATTAATTTTCATACGCGTCATTAGGTTTACCGTAAATAATTACCCACATATGTTGAACTACGCATGGAAAACTAGGCAGCAAATCCGCATATTTGTAAACTTGATTCACAACGTGCAAGAGAAATGTCTACTAACAGGAGGCTGTGTTTGCTCTTTATTTTCTTGGTTGTATTGGTTTTATTTCCGATTATTATAATCCACCGTTCAAAGACGACAATCAGGTACGTTTCAGACGAAATAGCATATACTTGTTACAATTGGTTTAAAACTACTGTCTGACCACAGGGTGCGCTTGTAGTCCTTTGTTTGTTGAAAGGCTGTTTCTAAAACATCTTAAATTGACTTCTCCTCTAAAACTGACCATATCATTTAATCAATCGGCGCATGTAATCTTTACAGAAAGGCGAAGTACGTCTTTAAAATATGGACAGAAGAAATGACCTCCACATCTTTGAATGTTTGTCAAGCAAACCAGGAAAATCTAGGTAAGGACGTGGGGCAAGACCGAGGTGAGGCTCCACATATACGGCTGTTCTCACAGATTGTGCATGTGGCAGTGAATATTAAAAGGAAAGCTGTATAACTTAGGGGAAAACATGCAGTGGTGTGTGTTAAACATTTTCTATGGAAGAGCGTATGTCAAGCAAACCAATAAAATTCGGGTAAAAATATAGATAGGATATGTTTTGTACCTGAACAAAATTGCAACAGAATTATTTGTTTTTCACCATGTATTGCCTTGAAGTCTTGGGAGCATCATACTAAAAGAATATCTGCATGGAAAAAACGAAAAATCCAAAATGGCTGTCAATATCTATAGAAATATACTATAGCATTTATGATCTTGCATCACATCACCGCCGTTTATTTTTCATTCAATATTAAGAGCCAATTTCGTCAAAAGCATTCTCTCTCTAGTGGTTGATGGACATTTTGGCTTTATCATTTGGTATAAAATAGCTCTAAAAATAAAGGAAACCCTATCGACAACATATGTCTGTAGTGCACAACTAAGCTGAAATAGTTGCTGACCCAATATTATAGGTGAACTTCGAGTAAGAAAATACTTTGGGATGGACATGCTGGTCATTGTGGGAAAGCCCTGCCTGTTTTAAACATGAAATTAAATTGATTGGAGACCACCAGAGTTTGCAATATGTTTTAACTTCAACAGTCTGTCGAATAAGTAAAATATCCAATATCTTAAGGAAACGCATTTTGAAAACGTGTTATGGCTGTTATATCTATCTATTGGACTTATTGGCCATCTTGTGAAACCATATAGACCTATAGCTTCAAACGTTCTTTACAGCTTTAATTTTGACATCAAAATCTGAAAAATATCTGTAATTTGTAATGATCTCTACATAATGCATGAAAAGTGATATACTCCGTAATTATATTAAGCCGATTTATACATAATTATTAACAGTAAACGAATGACAAATGTCAAGTGCAAATTTGGGCTGAAATAGTGGAACGAGGCGAGTTCATATGCTAGAGTATACATGTATATTTCTCTGGTAATTGTTCCCAAGCAGGAATTCTTCGGGGCTTTTCTTCCTTTTAGCATTTTGATTAGGTGAATTCAAGGAAATACATGGTGAAACAATAAATTCTGTCGTAACTACAGGGTTATCACTTAATATGGAATATTATTTTTGGCGAGTAAATTTTCTATTAAATATTTGATATCTCTCTAACTATTTTAAATCTAAAACTGAGGTGTCACTCCATGTGTAGCCAGGTGTGTTACCTAATTACCACACAACTCTCGAATCAATTGATGCATGCAGTTGCATGTTCTGTGGTCAGAAATGTAAGGGGTGGTCATTTCGGCAATTTATGCCCTTGTATAAAAAACGCATGAGTTTGGTCTTTGGAATGTGTTTAGAGAAGCAACAAGGGATCGCTCTGAAACTTGACAGGTACCTTAGTGAAAATGTGGTTCGATATCTAAGCAACGCAGCTTACTATGGGATTCTTGCTCTCAGAGAAAATGGCCAGAAACAGATAGCCATTGCCAGGTAATTCAACATTTATCAGGAACCGTTTGTAAAGTCTTCCAACGAAATGCTGCGACAGGGGCACCTACTCCAGTACCTCGACCAGGGTGTCCGCGTCTAACACCAAGAAGACAGGATCGCCATCTCCTAAAAAGACGCAGTGCTGGTCTTACAAAGACAACCAGTGTCCTCAGAAAAGAGATGCAGAATGTCATTCAAATGCCCGTTTCAAGGTCCCTCGTGAACAAGAAATTACTGCAAGCCGGTTATTTTGCACGAAGGCCAGTAGGGAAACCACTGTTAACAGCTGGTCATATACAGCGACGTCTGCAGTGGGCTGGGGACCACGTGCGTTTGCAGCCAAAACACTGGAATCACGCCATTTTCAGTGATGAGACCAGATATGAATTTTTTGGGATTGATGGTCGAATCCGTGTCTACAGACGTGTACGAGGGACATAAAACGATGATTGTGTACTGCCTAGGGTGCAAGCAGGGGATGGTAACGTCTCTGTTTGGGGAGCATTTCATGTCGGTGCCCAGAACCAGTTGGTTTCTCTAGGAGGCAACCTCAACCAGGATTCCTACAGAGACATTCTACAGCAAACAGTGCTGCGATTGGTAAGAGTAATCTTCAGGAACAAATGTGTGTACCAAGACGACTACGCAACCCCACATTGAGCCCGCAGAATCACTGTTTTTCTTCAAAACCAATGGGTTCAGCAACTGCCCTGGCCTGCAAACTCTCCAGATTTGAACCCAATTGAAAAACTTTGGGCAAAAGTAACTCACAGAATTAATAGCTATGGTCATCGTCCGGTAAATAGTGATGAACTGCGACAGGCAAATATCACTGCGTGGAATGATATCCCCATCCAAACTCTAAAAAAATGTGTCACAGGGTATGCCATGTAGGATGAGGGCGCTACAAGCGGCTGCTGGAGGTCATACCCGCAATTACTGTCTTTTCATGATTTACTGTAGTGAGTTCTTTGATTGTGTAACATATCACTGTCCGGAGGCTATCATTTTCTTTATTATCTTAGCTTAAAGTTAATACTGACATCAAACTGTCGCTATGGTTTTCTGGAAGTGTTCCTTTCTGTTGAATGGCATCTTATGGCTGTTTGATATTATACCAAAATATCTCAACAGAAGACTTTTTTCACTCAGTGACATACTTTTTTTGATGAATCTAGCCAAAAAAATGTAAATAGCACTCAAAAATAACAATGATAAAAATATTCCATATTAAATAGCAACCCTGTATGTCCAGAGTAAACCCTATTTTGCTTTATGGATGCAAAGTTTGAATACAGCTACAAGCATAAAATCTATACATATGGATACCTGTGTGATACTGGAAATGAAAAGGATAGGGAAACACGCAATACTGTGTGTTAAACGTTTCAATTAAGAATCAAGCGGGTATTTATTCCTATGTTAGCATATTGAAGACGTTAATTCATACAGCACAAAGTCATTTGAGGAAAACAAAGTATTGTAAAAGAAACAGTACGACCACTTGAAGACATTGCGATAGTCGGATCGTGGTGTTGTGAGGATCGCTAAAACATACTTATGATGACGAACCTTTGTTACTCGATGCTGCTAGAAAATAAGACACACTTTAACACACATCTGCAGCCAAATGGTCGTCAAAAAGGTTGAGTTTAGAAATACAACAAATATATTTTGTCCATTCCTCTTTTATCCTGATGATGTTACATATCGAGTGTGTTCTTTTTCTAATTTAGAAAATGTATACAAAGTACGTTTGGAACCGTTGCCAATGTCAAACAGAACGGAGCTGTTTAAAGAGGTCGCCACTGGAGGCCGATGGGCACCTACGTCATGCAAGCCTAGGGATCACGTGGCGATCATCATCCCTTACCGTGATAGACAAAAACACTTGGAAATTCTCCTCCTAAATCTACACCCTTTTCTACAAAGCCAAAAGTGCCACTACCAGATATTCGTCATTGAACAAGTAGACTGCTTAACGACTGTTGCTTTTTAGCAACCTTCATCTCCCTCTCTTTCTATCTCTCTCCCTCTCTCTCTCCCTCTGTCTCAGTTAATAGTATCAGATCCTCGGGTGCCACAAAGATAGGTAGTATCAAGGGTTCGTACACCATCTTTATTCAGTTTCCTGCAAGACGGCAACATTCAACTTTTCTCTATCAAAACTTTTTGAACTTTACCCTGCGTCACTTCATTTCAATTCATCTCCATTTGTTTTCTGAACACATCGGGTGCTGTTTTAAATCTTAATCAGCGTATTCATATTTCTGCAGGCTCACCCAGAACCTTTTAACACCGGATATGCCAAAAATATTGGATTTGTCGAGGCCAGTGCCACGTTTAATTTCACCTGCTACATATTTCACGACGTGGATAAAATCCCTATGAACAATTCACTGCTCTATAGATGTCCGCCTGGCAGAGTTCTTCATTTTGCCTCCGCTGAGGATAGGTTTCAGTACAGGTCTGTGATAATAATCCGCTACACAGCCTCTCTCTCGCTCATGTTCTGTCTCTCTCTCTTCGATTTCAGAATCTCGATTCTCTCTGCCAATGAAAATTATCACTGAAAATGCGACAATAAGGCGATCTCGGCTGTTTAAAAAGATCTTTAAAAGACTGTTTTATCTATTTTGTCAATTTCAAATCCAAGTATTTTACGAAATAAACAAATAAATAAAAAGATAAAAATTATAAGTAAATGAATAAATATAAAGCTTTGCATGTTGTGACTTCAGG